TCAACAGTGGTCTCTGGTACCTACTGTGGGTATCTATGTGTGTGAGAACCTACCCTTCCTCCATGCCCTGCATGACCTGTGATGCTGCAGACACTACTATCCTGTTTGCAGGTGTGTGTTGGGGGGCACAGAGGGCATGTTTCATGTCCTGTTGCACCCTCTACCCTGTGACCCCTGTACTACATCGTAGGAGGTAAAGAAAACCAAGCACACACACACATACACTCACAAGATGCTCTTGGGAGAATGCTTGCACAGCATGCCCCAGGAAGAATGTGTATGCAGATATTTCAGAAAATTGCTTGCTAGGTTGGCTTCAGGAAGTCTGTGTTAGAAAATAGATCAGCTAACCTTGCAAAATTTTAACTTGCAATTGTCTTGTAGCCATAAATAATCCCAAGCCCCCATGATTATGGTCATATACTCCCTTCCCCATTTTTATGTATAAAAAGCTAATCTCTCCCTCAGAATGCTGGAACACTTTTGTGATCTGGCATTACATTGCGTTCCCCAGCTAAAGCTGTTCCAATCCTCCAGTAAAATTCTTTGCTTTCACTTTTAACAGAGTGTAAGTCTGTTCAGCACTATGACACTGATTTAGTTCTTATTGTTTTCTTTAACTATTACAAAATACTTTGTGTGAAAAAGACACAGCCTGCGTTTTTGAAAAACCTTTACAATTTCGGTCAGATGCTCAAAATTTTAAATGTATACCATGACAAATACCCTTTTTCCAAATACCTTTTCATATTCTGTGTTCATTTCATAATTTTTTTCTTTTTTTTTTTTAGATTTTTAGGTATTTGTAGGAGGTCTTGTACTGAACTGAAAAGAAGACTGACTAAATAGGAGTAAGAAGGTTTAGAGGCTAACCCTGGATTTGCTACTTGTTACCTTAGGAGCCATGTGGCTGGGCAAGTTCTGTAATTACTTGAACTAAATCAAAATAACCAAACCCATTGCTGTCAAGTTGATTCTGACACACAGCAACTCTATAGAACAGAACAGAACTGCCCCATAGGGTTTCCAAAGAGCAGCTGTTGGATTCGAACTGCTGGCCTTTTGGTTAGCAGCCAATCTCTTACTATTGCACCACCAGGGCTCCCACTTGAACTAAGGGGATAATTATATCTGAACTATTTATTTCATGTGGTATTGTGGGATTTGGATGAGGAAATACATGTGAAAGTGCTTTGAAAATTGTTAAGAACTGAACAAATATAAGCACTTTGCCTGTGAGGGAGGTGTTAATAGCTTTGGTGAGAGTGTAGAATTACCTTTACTGTATATAAAATACACTGCTACTACCACATATTTAACTTATGAGTAAATTTATTTCTACATGATGTTGCCATAATATTCTAACTGCTTTAGGATTACAAAGCAATAACTTCAAAGTTCAACTAGAGAGGAGAAATAGAGAAATAACAGAGGTTTTTAGTTCCAGGGGAAAAAAAGAAACTGGAAGGAAGACGTTTTCTCAAGTGTCTAAGAAACCACAAGAAAATGGTGGTGATTTTGGATTAATAAAAAAGAAAGTGTTTTCAAACAACTGGAGAGCCTGAGTTGTAAGGGACAGTAAGAAATATTCACATAGTCAGTGAACTGTATGGAAAAGCTGACTCCACATGGCATAAAAGTCCACCTTCTCAAGCTCACATTCACCACTAGTGATTAAGCTGGCATAATGCTTGAACCTTCAAAGAGGATTAGGGATGTGGAATCAGGTAGGAGAAAGAATCCTGGATTTAGGGTAAAAAATTCTGGTTTCAAATCCCAGTTCTGTCATTTACTATTTGCATGAAGTTTTCTCATGTGAAAGAGGAGCAAGAATGCTTCCTTCATTTCATATCTCAATCTGTGAAGATCAAAATGACTGTAACAGCATTATAAGAAGGTAGTTTATTTCCCTTATAAATATTCCTCATGGCCTGAGGTAAATTAATTTCTGTGGCAATGAAGAAAACCAAGCTGAGACTGTGTTTCAGATTACTTACTTGGAGAACTAGGGGAGGAGTAGGGCATGGGAAAGACTTAGATTCCAAACTATAGACATAAGTGGGAGCCCAAATCTTTCATGATGTGAGGGATGTAGGTGCTAGAAAAAGTTACTGCATGGGCAATTCCCATCACAACCTTGTGAAACAAAACTGCATCACTGACGATTGTTGACAAAATGGTGTCAGTTGTTGTTTACAGACATTTTAGTGAGCGCAGTTCTATAGAGAAATAGAAAAGGTATGGCAAGGCCAGACTATTTTAAGGAGTTTTGCAATGCAAGCCTAATCTGTATCAAATAAACTGTCCTGATGCCTCCTGTGGAGTTTTGTTATTTTTCTGTTTACCTGGTCTTTACTCAAGCCTCTTTGCTATGAACACCACCACTTCTGTGCTGTCATGCTATTTTCATTTTCTATTATCTCTTCTTTAGACCAAATCCTAAGACAGTATTACAGCCAGACCTCCATATCCGGGAGGTTTGCGTTTGTGGAGTCAACCAACTGCAGATTGAAAATATTTGGGAGAAAAAAGAAAGTTCCAAAAAACAAAACTTGAATTTGTCGTGCACCAAGCTGAATCCACACTAATGAAATGATGTGCAGGGATACCCAGTTGTACCCTTCTGCCATTTCACAGGTCCTCAGTCTCTCTCCAGCACTTGTTGTTTGAGTATTGAACATGTACAGACTTCTTTTTTCCTTGTCATTATTCCCTAAACAATACAGTACAACAACTATTTACATAGCACTTACCTTGTATTAGGTATTATAAGTAATCTAGAGATGATTTAAAATATACAGAAGGATGTGCATGGATTATATGCAAATACCACAGTGTTTTATGTAAGGGACTTGAGCATCTGCAGACTTTGGTGTGGGGTATCCTGAACCAGTCCCCTGCAGATACTGAAGGACGACTCCATATTGTTTTTATAACCTGAACATTATATATATATTTCCTGTTAAAAAGTCTAGCACAACAGCTAACTTTTCTAGTTCTTTAACTGGTTTTAGGAACTACATCATTAAAAACAAAACAAACATACAAAAAACTTTTGATATCTAATACTTAACTCAGAAAACTCACTAATGCTGAAAGAATACAATAATGTTTTTACCTTAGCTGTCAGTTATACAAATTAAACAGGATTGGGACAAAAAATTATCTGGTACTATCACTATGAATCAAAATCAACTTGATGGCAACAGGTTTGATTTTGGTATCCTTATTGCTCCCTCAGGCAAAACTTTGCTTTTGTTGGTTTGAATAATGATTGGTGAGTTACCTGAATGCAAGAAAGCATAGACTTGTGGACTGGACACAGATTTTGGAGATACAGGTATCCTCTGCTTTTTGAAAGTTCGCTTTATGGCACTTCGCTTTTACAAAAGACCGATATTACTACCTGTTTTCGCTAACCAAAAGAAACCCAAAGAGGATTTTCCCTTTTACGAGAAAAGGTGAAAAGCCAAAGAAAATACTGTTCAGTGTTTGTTTTACAGCAAGCTGTTAATTAGGCACTGCACTCCAAGCAGGGAGAGTGGCATTGCCAAGCTCCTTCCCTGGGAACTACACTCAATGTCTCAGCAACAAGCCGCCATAGCTTTATTTGGTATGATTCAGTAGGTTATTTTTTGGGTCTGGGACCAATGAAAAAAATTTCCCAAAATGTACCTCCGACTTTGGTGAGTAGCATCTGGAGGCTTAAAAGCTTGTGAGTGGCCATCTACTGGTCCCTCCCGTCTGGTGCAAGAGAGAATGAAGAAAACCAAAGACACATGGGAAAGATCAGTCCAAAGGACTAACGGACCACAACTACCACAGCTTCCACCAGACTGAGTCCAGCACAACTAGATGGTGTTAGGCTACCACCATTGACTGCTCTGGCAGGGATCACAACAGAGGGTCCCTGACAAAGCTGGAGAAAAATGTAGAACAAAATTCCAACTCACAAAAAAAGGACCAGTCTTACTGGTCTGAAGGAGACTGGAGACACCTCGAGAATATGGCCCCCGGAGACCCTTTTAACTCAGTACTGAAGTCACTCCTGAGGTTCACCCTTCAGTCGAAGATTAGAGAGGCCCATAAAACAATAATACATGTAGCTCAACCATGTATACAGACTAAATGGACACACCAGCCCACTGCCAAGGACGAGAAGGCAGGAGGGGACAGGACAGCTGGACGAATGGAAATGAGGAACCCAAAGTCGAGAAGGGGAGAGTGTTGACATTTTGCAGGGTTGGCAACCAATGTCACAAAACAATGTGTATTATTTGTTTAATGAGAAACTAATTTACTCGGTAAACTTTCACCTAAAGCACAATAAACATTCTTTTTCCTCATACAAATTAATGGTAATTGTTTCTTCGCTTTATATCGTTTTGGCTTACAACAGGTTTTATACGAACGCTCTACTTTCGGATAGCGGGAGAAACTTGTATATTGACGACAGGTGACTAAAGTTCTGAAAACGGGAAAGGGTAATAAGAGGTATGATTTACCAACAAAATTCTGGCTTCCAAGGATGGAGAAGAATCAGGAGTGGAGTTTAAAGGCGGTGTGTTTCCCGGTGATGTGGAGAAGACTGGATGCTGGCACTTCCAAGAAAGTACTGGTTGGGCAGTCAGCTCCTCTTTGGCTGCCAAATCTGCCTTTGCGTTTCGTTAAAACCCACGCGGGGGCCTCTGGCATTTCCGCCTTCCTCTCCCTGCCCCGCGCCGGCCGCGACCCCCACCCAGCCCCCAGCGCCTTCCATCGACGGAGGCCGGCTAGGCGCGGGGCAAGGGTACGGCACGACGCAGGGCGCCCACCCTCGGGCCCGCCTCCAGCCGGTCGCGATGTCGGTCACCGGTGGAGCCTGCGGGGAACGGTCACGGTGGCGCGCCCCGGGCCACTGCCGCCTGGCACTGACACAGCGCGCTCCGCGACACGGGGTTTTCCCGTCCCGGTGAGGAAAAGGCGCCCGTCGCGCGGCCGTTCCCCCTCAATCGCTTCCCTGTCCTCGGCAGAGTCAGAGCAGCTTCCCCCGGCGGCCCAAGACGGCAGGAAGGCGCGGCCGGAGGCGGCTCCGCGGTCTCCACAGGTACGTCGGACCCTTCGCAGGACTCTCCTAGGCCAAACCACTGGGACTCCGGGTTCCGGCGCGGGTGCAGCCTGGGCCTCTCCCGGGCGGCTTAAGTCCGGGCTGAGGCGGCGCGGGCCCGGGCGGTGAGAGCAGGGGTCCCCGGCAACGTCGACGCCTCCACCGTCCGTCTTTGCGCGGGTCTGCGGGGACCGGCGAAGGCCGGGCTGAGGTCAGCCTCGGGGAAGCAGGGGACACCGGAAAGGGAAGGGGCGCAGCGGAAAGTGAACCCAGTGCCTGCAGAGCTCGAAGCCCTGCGCGCCCAGGCGCCATCCCGGTGCCAGCGGCTGTGCCCTGGGCCCTTCTCGGTTCCACTGCCCTCCCGCCGGCCGCTCTGTGAGCCCTCCCCACCGCCCCGACCCCCTCGTCGGAGCGGGGGTGGGAAGCGTTTAGTAAAGACATTTAACAAGCTAGTGAGGTTGAACGTGCCTGTCCTGCAGGGGGCGTGTCTCCGCTCACTGGGACTGTGAACTTCTGAAGGCTGGATTTCGGTTTCCGTGGCTCAGAGGTGGGAGAGGTTCGGGACTTGGATCTGCCTGGGACCCTTGCTTTCTAACCCTGAGGCTGGCCTCCGCGCGGATGCAGGCGCCATGCCGCTTTCACATTCCTTCATGCGCAGAATTTGAGTTGTGTCTCTTTAGAAAACATTTAAACAGGGACGAGTTAGTTCTTTAAGTAAGAATGTTCCGAAGTTCCCCTTACGACTTCAACTTTTTGAAACGAGAACTTGTGTTTTTGTGTCTTTAGAACTTAGATGCAAACTAGGAAAAGTGTTTTCCTTATTAAAAGAAAAAAAGAAGAAACTACTTGTGCAAATAACTCAACAGGCTGAGGTGATTCTAATCTTGCAGAAGGTCCTGCTTGCACTGTTACTAGGTCAACTGTTTACCAAGGAGCAACTGGAAAACAGTGTGGTCGAATTTGAAAGGAGCCTACAAAAGGAAATAGCAAACATCGTGGCTATTTGAAAAATGATTTCCCAATATTTTAGGCTTCTTTCTCTTGTAAGCAGAGAACATATGTGTCTGTAAGCTTTTTATAATTGTACACATTTTATGAACATTGCCGGAAGTTAATGGCATATTTTCGGAAGTTTCTAAGTTCTCAGTTTGTTTTTTGTATTATTTAATAAGTTGGCTTATTTGATTAAATAACTTGTTTTGATTTTCATCATTGAGCATGATTTACTATATATTCCATCCTAGGTGTATTTTCTCATAAAATTTTTTTAACAAATATAAAACCATTGAATTTACTCCTCCCAAATAGGCTTGCTTGTCAAAATTATTTGTTTCCTCTAATATCATTTAAAATTTATTTTACTTTCTGCTTATACCTCAGAGCTCTGCCTGAGTTGCCGAGTGCTCTGTGGGATAGATACAATGTCCATTGCACCTAAGTCTTTTTTCTTATCTATTATTATTCTTAAAAACAAAAAACAAACCCAGTTGTTGCTTCTTGCATTAGAGAAAAAAGGATTACTTTCAAAGGAGTTACATTTAAACAGACAACAGACTTATTTTTTTTTTAATTGTGCTTTAAGTGAAAGTTTACAGTTCAAGTCAGTCTCTCATACAAAAATTTTATACGTACATTGTTATGTGACCCTAGTTGCTCTCCCTATACTGTGACAACACACTCCTTTCCACCTCGGATTTCCCATGTCCATTCAACCAGCTCCTGACCCTCTCTGCCTTCTCATCTCGCCTCTGGACAGAAGCTGCCCATTTAGTCTTATGTATCTACTTTAGCTAAGAAGCACACTCCTCACGATTATCACTTTATGTCCCATAGTCCAGTCTGATCTTTGAAGAGTTGGCTTCAGGAATGGTTTTAGTTTTGGGCTAACAGAGAGTCTGGGGCCATGTCTTCTGGGGTCCTTCCAGTCTCAGTCAGACCATTAAGTCTGGTCTTTTTACTAGAATTTGAGTTCTGAACCCTACTTTTCTCCAACTTGGTCAGGGACTCTCTGTTGTGTTCCCTGTCAGGGCGGTCATTGGTGGTAGCCATGCATCATGTAGTTCTTCTGGTCGTGGGCTGATGAAATCTAGTTTATGTGGCCCTTTCTGTCTCTTGGGCTAATACTTTCCTTGTGTCTTTGGTGTTCTTCATTCTCCTTTGCTCCAGGTGGGTTGGGACCAATTGTTGCATCTTAGATAGCCACTCCCTAGCTTTTAAGACCCCAGACGCCACTCACCAAAGTGGGATGCAGAACATTTTCTTAATAAACTTTATTATGCCAGTTGACCTAGATGTCCCCTGAAACCATGGTCCCCAGACCCCTGCCCCTGCTACTCTGTCCCTTGAAATGTTTGGTTGTATTCAGGAAACTTCTTAGCTTTGATTTAGTCCATTTGTGCTGACTTCCCCTGTAGTGTTTGTTGTCCTTCCCTTCACCTAAGATACTTCTTGTCTACTATCTAGCTAGTGAATAACTCTCCCTCCCTCCCCACCCTCGTAACCATCAAAGAATTTTTTCTTCTGTGTTTAAACCTTTTCTTGAGTTCTTATAATAGTGGTCTTATACAATATTTGCCCTTTTGCGACTGACTAAATTCACTCAGCATAATGCCTTCCAGATTCCTCCATGTTATCAGATGTTTGATGGATTCATCATTGTTCTTTATCATTGCGTAGTATTCCATTGTGTGAATATACCATAATTTGTTTATCCATTTGTCCATTGATGGGCACCGAGGTTGTTTCCATTTTTTTGCTATTGTGAACAGTGCTGCAATGAACGTGGGTGTGCATATATCTATTCATGTGACGGCTCTTATTTCTCTACGATATATTCCAAGGAGTGGGATTGCTGGATCATGTGGTACTTCTATTCTAGCTTTTTAAGGAAGCGCCAAATGGATTTCCAAAGTGGTTGTACCATTTTACATTCCCACCAACAGTGTATAAGTGTTCTACTCTCTCCACAACCTCTCCAACATTTATTATTTTGTATTTTTTGGATTAATGCTAGCCTTGTTGGGGTGAGATGGTATCTCATTGTAGTTTTGATTTGCATTTCTCTAATGGCTAACGATCGTGAGCATTCCCTCATGTGTCTGTTAGCTGCCTGAATGTCTTCTTTGGGGAAGTGCCTGTTCGTATCCTTTGCCCATTTTTTAATTGGGTTATTTTTCTTTTTGTTGTTGAGGTTTTGCAGTCTTTTGTAGATTTTAGAGATTAGATGCTGATTGGATTCGTTGTAGCCAAATTTTTTTGCCTAGTCTGTCAGTTGTCTGTTTCCTTTTTTGGTGAAGTCTTTTGATGAGCCAAAGTGTTTGATTTTTAGGAGCTCCCAGTTATCTAGTTTCTTTTCTGGTGTTTCTGCATTGTTACTTATGGTTTGTATTCTGTTTATGCCATGTATTATGCAAAGCTCCTAGCATTGTCCCTATTTTTTCTTCCATGATCTTTATCATTTTTGATTTTATATTTAGGTCTTTGATCCATTTTGAGTTAGTTTTTCTGCATGGTGTGAGGTATGCATCTTGTTTCAGTTTTTTGCAGATGGATATCCAGTTATGCCAGCACCATTTGTTAAAGAGACTGTCTTTTCCCCACATTATCAGACTTTGGTCCTTTGTCAAATATCTGCTGCTCATAGGTGGATGAGTTTACACTGGGATTCTCAATTCTGTTCCATTGGTCTGTGTATCTGTTGTACCAGTATCAGGCTGTTTTGACTACGTGGTGGTATAATATGTTCTAAACTCAGGTGGTGTGAGGCCTCCCACTTCGTTCTTCTTCTTCAGTAATGCTTTACTTATCCAGGGCCTCTTCCCTTTCCATATGAAGTTGGTGATTTGTTTCTCCATCTCATTAAAAAATGTCTTTGGAATTTGGATCAGGATTGCATTGTATCTGTAGATCACTTTGGGTAGAATAGACATTTTCACAATGTTGAGTATTCCTATCCATGAGCAAGGTATGTTTTTCCACTTATGCAGGTCTCTTTTGATTTCTTGCAGTAGTGTCTTGTAGTTTTCATTGTATAGGTCTTTAACGTCTCTGGTTAGATTTATTCCTAACTATTTTATCTTCTTGGTGGCTATTGTAAATGGTTTTGATTTGGTGATTTCCTCTTCAAAGTTCTTTTCGTTGGTATAGAGGAATCCAACTGATTTTTGTATGTTTATCTTGTATCCTGATACTTCGCTAAAATCTTCTCTTAGTTCCAGTAGTTTTCTTATGGGTTCTTCGGGGTTTTCTGTGTATAAGATCATATCATCTGCAAATAGAGATACTTTTAGTTTTTCCTTACCAATTTGGATGCCCTTTATTTCTTTTTCTAGCCTGATTGCTGTGGCTAGGACCTCCAGCACAGTGTTGAATAAGAGTGGTGATAAAGGGTGTCCTTGTCTGGTTCCCATTCTCAAGGGAAATGCTTTCAAACTCTCTCCATTTAGGATGATGTTGGCTGTTGGCTTTGTATAAATACCCTTAGTCATGTTGAGGAATTTCCCTTCTATTCCTATTTTGCTGAGAGTTTTTATCATGAATGGTTGTTGGACTTTGTCAAATGCCTTTTATGCATCAATTGATAAGATCATATGGTTCTTGTCTTTTGTTTATTAATGTGATAGATTACATTAATTATTTTTCTAATGTTGAACCATCCCTTGAGAGCAGACTTCTTAACAGAAACGAAACAAAAATCTAAAGACAATGGCATTTTATCTTCAGTATGCAGAGAAAATAGCTGCCAATCTAGAAATCTACTATATGAAAATATCTTTCAGAAATGAAGATGAAATAAATTTTCAGACAAACAAAAAATTGAGATAACTCATTAGTAGCAAACCTTCACTAAACTGAAAAAAAAGAAAAACAAACCCATTGCAGTCGAGTCGATTCTGACTCATAGTGACCCTACAGGACAGAGTAGAACTGCCCCATAGAGTTTCCAAGGAGCGCCTGGTGGATTCAAACATGCCGACTTTTTTTTGTTGTTTAAGCAGCTG